CCCTCCCATTCTCCTCCTTGAATCGTGAACTCTTCTCACTTCGTTCCCTCCTTCCTTTTCTCCACCGCCTGACTCTTTTCTCTCTATAGGAATCGGAGTATCTCATCGGGGTCCCATGAAAAAAGGTGTAGGGAAGCAGAATTTAGCAAGAGAGTCCCTCGGGTTTGGTCATTTTGAACACGTACCTTGTAGTCTTCGACGCCTTTAGTATCCGTTCTCATAGTCCCAGTAGTCCCCAAGATCCGACTCCGAGAAATCGGCGAGAGATCGGTCCACCCAAGACTCGGTCTCCGATTCCCCGTCCAAGGTACTACCCGTGTCGCCCCACGTATCTTTTCCCCCTTCTTCCCAAACTAGCCCGCTACAGTTCCTACCCTTTTCGTTCTCAATGGGAGTTGGGGCTTCTTCGATCCTTTGCCCAGAACCCGAAGCACTACCCTCCTTACTCCCAAATCCCGAACAACACCCCCTTGAGAACCCTGCTCCCGTGCAGGCGACGTCCACAACCCGTGTGGGTCGAGAACGTTGGGAAAACCAGCAACCACTCGAGAATCCCGTTCCCTTGCTGGAGGTGCGTCCCGTGCGGATGATGTCCACAACCCGTGCCGGTCGAGAATGTAAGGAAAACCCCTTTCCCTTCGGACCAACCCTCTCGGATCCCAAACTGATGGTGTCTCCAGACCCTCTTCACCCCCTCTTTTTTCTCTCCCCCTAGAACCCACTATCTCTTCCCCACGCGCAGATCACTTACACAATTTTCCCGGACAAACTCCATAGGCAAACTTTTTACCCTCTTATTTTGTAGTTCTCTCCAGTGTCGTACCCCCGTTCACCGTTCACGGGGGTTGTGAACGGAGACCGGTTACCGTTCACGAAAATCGTGAACGCCGGTAGTTCACGGAGTTCACGGTGAGCGGGAACTCCGTTTTTTTTTTTTTTTTGGCTGGTAGGGGTACTGATTTTTTTTATAGACGTGTGGGGAACCTGTCTCTTATACACATCTAGATGTGTATAAGAGACAGAGCCTATCTACTCCCTCCCATTCTCTGAATCGTGAACTCTTCTCACTTCGTTCCCTCCTTCCTTTTCTCCACCGCCTGACTCTTTTCTCTCTATAGGAATCGAAGTATCTCATCGGGGTC